CGTGAAGAAAATTCTCAGAGACAGCTGACGGAGTTTCAACAACGTTAAGAAAATTCCCAGAGGCAGCTGACGGAGTTTCAACAACGTGAAGAAAATTCCCAGAGGCAGCTGGTGGAGTTGCAGCGGCAACTGAGGGAGATAGGAGAGCAGTTGACCAATTGCCGAGGACAAGTTTCTGAAGTACAGTTAAGTCTTTCAACAGCACAGGAAACAATAAATCAATTGCGGAACCAGGAAACACGTGACTGGGTTATTCCCCGGGACGAAATTCAAATCACAGAGAAATACCTTGGGAGGGGAGGGTGGGGAATTGTCAATGAGGGAACGTATTGTGGCTGTACTGTAGCAGTGAAACAGATCCATGAGTTGATTCTTTCTCCTCATAACATAAATCTGTTTGAAAGAGAAATGAATATCGCTTCTAAATGCCGCCATCCTCACTTACTACAGTTCATCGGCGCCACGAAAGATGAGGGAACTCCTCTGTTTGTGACCGAGCTGATGGAGAAAAGTCTGCGCACTTTGTTGGAGCAGCGGCAACTCTCCGAGACAGAAATAGCCGTCATTTCTCTGGATGTAGCACGTGCCCTGAACTACCTTCATAGAAAGAAACCAGAGCCTATCATTCACCGTGTCGTCAGCAGTGCGAATGTGTTGCTATGGCGACAGGGTGACCAATGGAGAGGCAAAGTGTCAGATTATGGCACTGCTAATTTCATGCAGCAGACCATGACAGTGGCTCCGGGAGCTATGATTTACAGCGGACCTGAAGCACTTATATCAAACCAAACAGTCAAGGTAAGTTTTAGTCACTGTTCAAGGCTGTTAACATTAACATAAGAATTAAGTGACCCTTACCCATGCATCGTATCGGTCGTGGTTTCTTCTTTCCATTGTCATCGTCGGGGATTACGGAAGAAGTGGCCGCGTTAGTTTGTTGGCTTTATTATGGCACAGTGTTATGTTTTGTCGTTGTTTTTTTTTCAAGCGGAGTAGAAAACTGTTGTCCCCGTATAGCCTCTTGAGTTATCCAATGGACAATTTTATTGGAAAGTGTCCTGTTGAATTTCTCGTTTTATAAGATACCTGTAGATCTGTTCAAAATTGGTCAAATATCTGCCATTTTTGGCGGTGATTTTGCCACTACAGCGTATATTTAGCTCATTGTTTAAAATTAACCGAATCCATCGGTGTGCACCCAAAACTGGTCTTAATTGTGCTCTTTAACGGCGAAATTTCAATCATCCCTTCTATGAGCTCCCTCGGCCTCTGACCGCATTTTCGCGCGCTCAAATCCTCCCCCCCTCCTACGCTTGTAAGTTATCAGTCAACCTCATTTAGACCATCTCATTAGTGAATTGGTTCTGATGCAGCTTTAAGATGTTTAGTCACTACAACATGTAGATCATGATATAAATAACGAGACGCCTAAAAGTTGTCCCCGTGGGAATGCATTGGTGTATACAGGCATAAAATACCTTTTGATAAAGGTTGGAAAAACGTTGTTTTAAAAAGGTTTTTTTCTGGCTGCCTACAGTCCCCGTATAATCGCTATTTTTGCTCTAAATTCCGCTCATAGGTTCTCATATTAACGAGCTTTTGTAGCTCCAAATGGAACTCAGTGTTTATCGGCAACTGTAATTTTCCTGCTTGTCTTGGCAAACTCAGTTTGGCTGTGATGAACAACTGCCCCGAATAATGTCCCTGCAATGAAAACGTAGCCTGCGTTGCAGACGTAACGTAACCAAACCCCGGCAAGAAACGTCAAGAAGCGTTCTGGGCCGCCCGTACCAGGATTTTAGTACGCGCCATGATTGGCCTGTTAAAGAAGCCATTGCCAATTCACGAATCATATTGAAAGGAAATTCAAAACACACTTCCGGTAACTCGTTGAATCAAGTAGGGGTTCAGAACAATGATCTCACCGCTGCTTTGCAGACGTTACTAACCGGGGTTAGATTACGTCGGCGACATAGGCCATGAAAACCAAACCTCGTTGGATATTTACTAACTGTAGCAGGATTAGCTCAGTTGGTAGAGCGCTGGACTACGGAGCGGAAGGCCGCGGGTTCCACTTCTGGGGCTGGACCATTACTCACTCCCTTTGCACTGCAAGCGGCTAGACCTTGGCGTGTCTTGGATGACCACGTGAAATAGCGGTCCTGTCTCCAGTTGAAGACGTTAAAATAGTGTCCCCAATTAGTACTTTCGTGCTAAATACCTTGACACTCAAATAAAGTGCATTGTTTTAAAACAATATTGACTTCCTCAAATTATGTTTTATTGTTGTTAGGTTGACGTCTACAGCTTTGGTGCTCTTCTTTGCGAAATGTGCATCAGACAACTTCCAGATCCTCAAAGGCGTAACGAACAAGTGGTGCTGGTAACGAACGGTGTGTTTCGTGGCCTGGTGCGGCGATGCCTTCAGAGAGAGCCTGGTGCGAGACCAACAATGCAGGAGATAATCGATGAACTGAAAGACTTCGATCCAACTTCTTAACTGTAAAAAGAACGGTATGCAATATGATTGAAAATTCGCAGTTTTTAAGAACTTCCTGTGGAAAAAGTTGAAAAAGTAGGAACCTTTTTCTGCTGAATTTTAGGACATGAAAATAGGTTTAAATAATTCCGGTTGTAAGGGCCTGAAAAAGGTGACCTTATTCGCGAGCGCTTACTTAGCTCTTAGTTGTTGCAGGGAAACAATGCAATTTAAATATGACTTAGGAACTGATACTAGAATTTGTATTGAGAAGTACAGTGTCCGTGTAGAAGTCAGGTACTTGTAGTAAAGAGTTAATACTTACGTTAGTAATTAGGTATTCCTTGTTAGGTATTTACAAAGTAATTAGGTTTTTTCTGTGGAGAAGATAACTTTGATCAGTTGTTAGATGTTTGTACTTATGAGAGATATAAGGTGAAAGTTAGGCACTTACATAATAGTAAGACATGTTATTTGTAATTTTTTTTAGTCGGGTTCTTTTGAAGATTTTAGATTTTTTTCGAAATCGTACGATCTTCGAGTGGCACAGCCGTGACCAGGCAATGTAACGCAGATAGATATTTCAAAACGGCTCATACATATATATGTGTTTTTTTTATGTATTTGTTTTCTGAAACTCGTACTTGCATAATGATTATATAACTACTGCATTAAATATGTTTAGGCACTGGGAACGTGAACGTTGTTGAAAACAGGGCTGCCAACTTGGCATGATAGTTATATTGACATTTAAAAGCAGCAGAATTTTTTCAGCCATTTTCCGAAACAGCAGCTTTTGTGACCTTAATGTTGATCGGTGTTGTGACTGACCCGCCCGGCATACTGTATGTGGTGTAGAGTTTGGACCTTTTTAAGTGTTTCACAGCATTGTCGTGTTCACCAGTTTTTGTTCTCAAAATGTTGAGGCTGCTCGACACAGCAAAATCTCGGTACCGGCTCTTCTGCGAATGACCACCAGGGCGGGAAGTAGTCAGTCAGGTCTGAAGCGTAGACACTCGGGTCGGAGAATGGAAACAACATAATTTGCTATCGCCTATGTGCATTGTATAGTTCCAAAAAACATCCATACCCTCCCCACGAAAGCACGAAGGGAAACTGAATTGCTGAGGGGAATGGGGGGTCCAAAGGGAGGCAATTTCCGGGGGGGTGGGGGCTTCTTTTCGATTTTTTTCCCTGGGGCTGCAAGATAAGACTGTTGTTACGATAAACACAGAGAGCAGCGGATATCTTTTTTATTCAGCAGTTAAATCTTAGTTTTTACTTGGAAACCCTATCATTGATCAATTTGAGCATTTTTATGGTAACTGTATTTTAACTGTACTTTCGACAGTATAACATAGAGTTACTGAAGCATGTGATTTAAAGCATGTTATTTAAAATAAAAAAAGCGTGCCTCCAGCACGACCTATCTCCGCATAAAACAATTGACCAGGGTGCTTAAGGTGGCTCGACTGGATTTTTTTAGGGCGATACCTCCCAAGTTTGAGCCTTAACTACGTCGGCATGAGTAAAGATATCGAAAAAAGGTTACCACAACTGTATTACATAAAGATGAAAATTTCTTAAGATCTGGGTTTTATTGCAATCGGAGTCGCCATGGCAACGTAATGACGCCATTACGTTTTTCATTTATCCTTGTGTTTCTCTGTACCAGGAGTTTTTTGAAGAAATCGCTTAAGGGAGTATGTACCTGCCATAACTGCCTCCATTATGGCAAAGTTTAAAGAAATTCTATGAGAGCGTTTTCGAAATATTTTGAAATACACTTTTAAGAATCATAAAAACAGTGAAATAGCATGCTAGCCGCTCAATTCGCTAATATATTAAGAAAATGATAAGCTTTGGGAACGCGGCTTCATCTCATAGTGGATTGATTCCATTGAAAACTGCATACAAAAAAAGAGGGGAATTGCTCTGGGCGATCGCGAGTAAGAAGAATTTTATTAACTTGCATTCAGCTGCTTTTGATACAGTTTTTGGAGGTAATTTGGTCCATGCCTAAGAATTTCGCATTTTTCCAAAAACCGCTCGATAAATTTTTTTATAAATTCGACAATTCCGAGATCAATTGTCAAGAAATATTCCCTGCAAGTTTTAAGAACATTGAAAACAGGGAAGGCTTTTAAATAGGGCCTCAAATATAGTCAATTTTCCCCACAGATTTTGTGTTTACAAGTGAGCGTCCTCATTATTCACTGGCATTGTTTTCAAGTTTCATATACACGTGCACATTTAGCAAAAAGATAGAATTTGCATCAAAAAAGACCCTCGGTTAAATCTTCGGGATATGCTAATTACCGGGTAAAGAGGTTAGTGATACATTATAACATCAGAGCAACTCTTTGTGAGAGTTTCTGTGATGTTATAACCCGAGTAAGATAATTAAGTATTGCATCCTACACGATGAGCCGAGACGTTCACCGTTTCGGCTCTCACTGCTATCTGTGATGACAAGCCAATTATGAGCATATACCGGATATTTCTTCGGAAAGTAATCGAGAGTTCTTTTTGATGCAAATTTATATTTTTGCTAGTTGTGCACGTGCATATGAAACTTGAAAACAATGCCAGTGAATAATGAAGACGCTCACTCGTAAACACAAAATCTTGGGGGAAAATTGGTCATGTTTGAGTCCCTATTTAAAAGCCGTCCCTGTTTTCAATGTTCTTGAAACTTGCAGGGAATATTTCTTGACAATTGATCTCGGAATTGTCGAATTTATAAAAAAATTTATCGAGCGGTTTTTGGAAAAATGCGAAATTCTTAGGCATGGACCAAATTACCTCCAAAAACTGTATCAAAAGTAGCTGAATGCAAGTTAATAAAATTCTTCTTACTCGCGATCGCCCAGAGCAATTCCCCTCTTTTTTTGTATGCAGCTTTCAATGGAATCAACCCACTATGAGATGAAGCCGCGTTCCCAAAGCTTATCATTTTCTTAATATATTAGCGAATTGAGCGGCTAGCATGCTATTTCACTGTTTTTATGATTCTTAAAAGTGTATTTCAAAATATTTCGAAAACGCTCTCATAGAATTTTTTTAAACTTTGCCATATTGGAGGCAGTTATGGCAGGTACATACTCCCTTAAGCGATTTCTTCAAAAAACTCCTGGTACAGAGAAACACAAGGATAAATGAAAAACGTAATGGCGTCATTACGTTGCCATGGCGACTCCGATTGCAATAAAACCCAGATTTTAAGAAATTTTCATCTTTATGTAATACAGTTGTGGTAACCTTTTTTCGATATCTTTACTCATGCCGACGTAGTTTATGCTCAAACTTGGGAGGTATCAACCCCAAAAAATCCAGTCGAGCCACCTTAAAGTTCAGGCTTTAAGTTGACAGTTGCCATCAGCAAGAAATAAACCGGAATACTGTATACGCAGGCCTAGGAATTTTTTAGTTTGAGCGTGTATAGCATAAACAGTTGCGGTAGAAAATACATTTTTAAAGTGTCTATTTTATACACTTATGGTATTCTATTGTCAGTAACGTTTTCTGCTGCTGTGTTTAACGTTATCATGTTCTGAGGGAGATGTAGAGAATTTATAATTGATTGGGAGATCAATCATGGGAGATGTAAGCCACGGGGATATTTTTTGAATCGATGTCTTGAACGTGCGTCACCAATGACTCCCCCCAAGTGTGTCGCTGCGATTTTACTTGGACATTTTGGATCCTTGATATTTTTCGCCCAATGGAAGGGAATCAAAGACACTCTTGAATTGTGGATTCCACACCTTCGATTACGGATCCCAGGTACTGGATTCCGGCCTTTGTCAGTGGATCTTGGGTTCTGAATCCAGTCGTTAGTGGGATTCTGGATTCCTTAGGCTGTATTCCGAATTCCAAAGCCCTGGATTCCAGAATTTACGAGCAAAAGCTTTCCGGATTCCGAAATCCAGATTCCCTTACATGGAGCGATATTTTGAGAAGTGTCCCACACTGTCGAACCAACTATGTGTCCCTTAGGCTAAGATTTTAGCACAGTTCTATCAATATAACCTCCGTCAATACCCTTATATGTCCGTCCCTTACCCTTGTAACGCGTTACGCTTCCTGTGCTGTCCAGTACAGAATTTCATCTAACATGAGAAAGGAAAGAGAATGTGCTTTGACGTCAAATTTTCGCTTCTCCTTTGGAGAGTCGAGATTACGAGACTCCATTACAGTCTCGAATAAACTAGATCATCATAGACAAGACAGGATTGCCGGGGGACCTCAAGGATAGCTTAGTTTATTAACTAAGAACGGACTTAATCACCAGTTTTCAGTACCTAAAAAAATACAGGCCTCCTTTTTTGTTTTCTAAGGCCCGACATAGATTGGAACCTCTATTTAAGGGACACCCTCGGGACCAAGGCAAGTGTCCTGAATAGAGGTGTCCCCTGAATGGAGGTTAGGCTGGGGTTTGTTAATATCAGAACCAACAATGAAAACTTTTTCTTTTATTCTGCGTCAGAATCTGCTGCAGTCATTATCTCAAGCAGCTAGATAATGAATAAAAAATCATGATTAACTTGTCTCTGCAATGTAGTGTGTTGAATTTCCACAAGTGCAGTACATCAATTTAAGTGAGATAGTTCATTCGCCATTGTGACTTGTGTGCACTTAAACATATCAATGATTTTGTGGTCAGTCACTTTTTGAGTGCTAAGGTGTCCCCTGAATGGAGGTAAAACTCGAGTTTCGGAACCAAGAAAAAGTGTCCCTCTCCCCTGAATAGAGGTGTCCCTTCAATAGAGGACCAAATTTGTTATTGACATTATTTGTTTACTTCATTTGTTGTATTTCTTCCCAAAATTTTAATGATGGCATGTTACATTTTGTAAAGACTGCTATTTATTTGCAAATACGTGTGATTTTACATGACAGGCCTCAGGGATGTTAATTTATTAATCCAATAAATACATGATTAGCCTGGCTATTTGGCAAAGGCAGTAGTGTCGGGGGTTGTATAATTTAGAGGGTCTCGGGACATGCTTCCATTCACA